TCTTATCCTATATCACTTTAGTTTCACTATATTGCAAATATTCACATAGCAATAGCCACAGCTTCTACCAAATAGTTGGGCTTTGAGAAAGCTAATGAACAACAGGAAGCAGTCCAGAAGCTTGCTGTAAATTAAACAAACTCCTTATAAATTAAACATGGTAACATATGAACACAAATGTAGGGCACGACAACATGACATAACTTTTAAAAACAGCAATTAAACATACAGCATTGCTTTCCCTAACGATGTGCTATGCTAATTTAAGGCTAAGGTGATGATTCCATTGATTTAACAGTTTAACATGGAACTCATAAATGAGAATAAAATCTGTAATAAAGAAATCATGGGGGCTTTAGCATTTACGAGTATAGAATTAGGTATGTAATTATATGGGACAAAGATATACATTTCAATTCAATCAATTTTCTGTATCATAAACTAACCCAAAACATTTAGGCTGTACAGTAAGCAGTCTTTTTAGATTCAAAGAAATACATCCCATTATTAAATGTTCAAGTTCTTAATGGGATATTAATTGGTAAGTTATCTTTTTCATTTTTATTGTATATTTTTTGCTTCTTTCACACTGTTTACCTTTTAAAAAATATATATATGCAGATATTCTAGAAACATGATAGAAATGTAAGGCATCATTTTCTAGTAAATACCCTTACAAAACATAAAGTGCCACAATGGACATGCACATTGTATCTTAGTAAGATGACAAAAGCAGAAAGAAAAATATGTCCTCTGAATGCACATTAGTTTGATGAATGAAAGGGACGCTCTGTTGGGGTCAACAGCCTTGCTGGGAGAGGTCTGATTTTGTTAAAAGATGAGCACCATTGTTTGCACTCTCTGGTTTACTCTGCTCTAGAGAAAAAAAATCCAGATCAATCAGGTTGATTTTTAATATTCATGTTTGGCTCAATGTTAACTGGCTTTGTTTTTTAAAAATGTATCCTTTGATTACTGAGATAAATAGGTAATCCAGCTTCTACCAGTCATATTACTATTGCTATTATTATGTGGCATTATGATTCAATTTTTTTTCAAAAGTCCTTTTTTTTTATTGTGGAGGCCAGATTTTTTAGTCCATTTTTCCTACCTAGGACTTTGCTATACAATAATGCGTTTACAGAATAGCCACTTGTATACAGGAAAAAACATAGTTAGAATACACTTGTAAGCAACTCTCAAGCTATCCAAATTGGCAACTGGTGAGAAGGTGAGAAGCTCTTGATCATATTGGTAGAAATCACATACACGTCTGTGGCACCAGCCAAAACCTGCTGATGTTTGGGGTAACAAGAGCAAAGCAGGAGGGAAGCAGTGACTTCAGTTTTTGTTCTCTGCTCCTGCCACATTTCACTACTTGCAGGTCTGGGAACACACCATGCTCTCTCCTCCTGGGGCCTCTATACTCATGCTAATGAACCTCATCTTTCTGGTTCTTTTTGCTTGACTAACTTTAGTTGGTTAGTTTAGATGATACTTCCTCCAAGCAGCTTTCCCTAAGTGTTAAAACAAAGTTAGGCTTCATCTATATATGTCAATGGCACCTCCTGACCTACTATAGTAGCACTTACTACAACTGCACTATAATTGCCATATACTTGCTTGTAAGTTCCGGAGGGTGGGGAACATAGCCTGTTCAGAAACTTGATCCCCAAACCTGACACTCTGCCTGCCATGCAATCAGATGCTGATCAATATCTGTTCAATAAGCAGATAAATATGATGCTGATAATGCTGACAATGGTAAATATTGGCTCAACTTATTGAGTGCTTATTGTGTGCTAAGCATTATACTAAGCCTTTACCTCATAATCCTTTGCAATAGCCCTACAAGGCAGGTACTATTACCATCCCCATTTAGAAATGAAGAAACAAAGGTGCAGAGAATCTTCAACCACGACTAGAAAAAACACCCTACTCTTACACAATGCCAAGTTAGAGAGTGACAGTTCATGGACGGGGACCAGAGGGGATTTATGCACAACATTCTTTTTAGCCGTGTCAACGGAGTCTTGTTTCTATGATTGTCTGAGACTAGATGATCTCTTTGTCATACACATAATCCTTCTGTGAACAGGGACACTGGTTTTAAGACACTTTGCCTATGTAAACCAAGTCAAGGGCCCCCCAGAGAGGTAAAATCAGTAACAACACGTTTTTCTATAGTTTTAACTGATATGTAATGACATGAAGCCAAAGAAGAAAAGAATTTAGAGTTGAAAACAATTTAAATTTACCAGGTCCCAGTGCTTCTGGAATATTGCCAGGGCTAATTTGGATTAGGCCTTTCAGAGTCTGTGCTGCTCTAACCCGATGCAGCCTAAAAATATACTTGATAGAAAGAGGTAAAACAAGTTCACCTAACTCGACACAACTGACCGTCTGTTCTCAAGTTGCCTACCCTGGACCAGAATGTTTTATTTGTTTCACTCCAGAAGACGGTGATACTGTGTCTCTTAGTGAAAGGTATTTGTGATGAAAATAACTTATAGGCTAACCCAAAACTATCTGAGGCAAATGCTCACAGGAGGGACTAGAACTTATTTTCAAGGTGGAAACATTTTTAGAGTTTGCTGGAGATTTTTATTTTGAAATCTCCAAATTCAACAATTCTTCAGCCTCTGTAAACTTGCAAATGGAAAGCTCCAATATTTAGAGTAAATAATGTCTAAGCTTCCCCTTCATAGCAAGTTTTCTTTTTCTCCCCTGTCATAAGAGTGTTATATCCTGGCAACTGAAATACAGAACCCCTTTGTAGTAAAGCTATCATACTACACCAGTTGGAATGTGTTGCTAATGAGGTTATTGCTTAATAGAACCATAGAAAGACATTGAATAAAAGGAAATACCCTGACAAATGTGTTGACCAAAGGATGCCAACAACCCTCCCAGGGTCCTGTCTGAAATTCGAGGATTTAAAAAAAAGTAAAAATGAACTTTAGTGTATCTGAAAAATCATAACATTGAAACATAAGTCCATTTATCTTTTAACTATTTTTCTAGTTCTCTTCCAAAATTTTACTGGTTATTAAAACACTGCTATGTAAATAAAAATGTTCTGCTTTATAACTCACCCCCTATTTCTTGTCCTTACAATATAATAATGTCATTGTTTGATATATCACACTTACTCTTAAAGTAATAGGGCTTGATGTGAAGGACTTTAAATAGCATGTTGCAGAAGGGCTTCTGCAGAAAAATGAGATTGGGGAATCAAACACAGCACGAGGAGGCCCAGGACAGGACTCTGAAGGGCTTCTACAATCCTGAGAGTCTTTAAAGAGTTAATATACCATGACTGTCACTGAGACATGCAAAGCTGTTTCTGAACAGTTCTTCTATCTGTTACGTAGGCTGTCTAAGACTGAGCTGCCCAGTGATGAGGTCATGGGGAATACATTAGCAGAATTCAGTGAAGCCATTCAAATTCCCAGATTGGAAATACAGTTGCGAATGAACACACTTCTTTAGCATATATCGTTTGCCCTGATGAGTAAATGCCCACCTCTCTGCTGAGGTATTCCCAATGAACTCCATGCAGTCATCAGGAGCAGTAAATTTGGAACCAAGAGTTCTGGTTCTGCTCTGGGCTCTGCCATTGATTAATTGAGATGCTCTAATTTTCAGAGTCAGTTTTCTAGTCTATAATCCAGAGGGTTGTTTTTTTAAGCTTGTGCTCAGAAAAGCCCTGGAGGGTCTGTAAATTTGTCCTAGGAGTCAACAAAAGGGGCAGGGAGGAGAGTGAGGGGAAAGCCAAGCTAGGAAGTTCTGAGTTTTCCACCCCAACCTTCACTGGGCAGTTCTGCTTTGATCTGATTTTGATATTATGCTAACATGCAAGATATTATATGAAGAACAAGTTATATGGTAAAGTTTCAAAACCACCAAACGTTGCAAAGTACTACAGTATTCCTTCTACCTCTGATGTTCACTTCCCACCTTAAAGGCTCTCCAATGACTTATTCCACCAAGGAATAAGTCTACACACCTAAGTATGGCATTCTCCATGCCTTAGCACCCACCTCTCCTTTTCCTCTCCTCTCCAGCCATTCTCCATCATGCACTTCATGCTTTAATATTCCATGATTTCCAGAACATGCAATGTTTGCTCTGCATCTCCTCCCTCTCTGCTTGGCTAAACCCTTCTCATCTGTCAAAATGCAGCTCAGGCAATCCTCCCCCCATGAAGCCTTCTCTGAACCTCAAAACCAGAAGAAGTACTTTTCACTTGCTCCCATTTCATCCTGTGAAGAGCTATCACAGTAATTAAGCATTATGACAAAATTGTCATTCTATACTGTATCTTCCAACTGGGCTATAAATGTCTTATGGGTAAGGCCTTTCTCCTTTGTTTTTGTTGAAATATTAGTGCCTAAAGGTTCAATACAGACTTATTGAAAGAGGGGATTAAAAAAAGAACACCTTTAACTTGACCAAAAAATTTAATTTCAAAAATTCTGAAAAAGCCCTTGGTGATGCATAGCCTATCTCTTTGAAGGCTTCATTTCTTACTGTGAAAACCTTAATTACAAGTTAAATTAAGAAATGATTTTCAACAAGGATTTGAGTATATGCTTTGATATCTGTTACAAAGCAATAGGAAGGTTTAGCCAGAGAGTAACATATGACACTCCATTCAAAACTGTTTAAAAAATTTCCCTCAAAGAAAAAAACCTGAAAAACCATTGATTAAAAACAAAAAAATCAAAGTCCAACCAGAGAAAGGGGTCAGTATACATTTGTAAATATTTGTATGTATCTTCATTATATCTACCATCCAACTATTCATTAATTATTTACCAAGTACCCAACTACTGACTAATCACTGTTCTAGGTGGTGGGAAGGTATCTATGAGTAAAACAGGCAGAGTCCATGCCTTCATCCAACATATCACAGTGGGAGAGGCACACAATACACACACACACACGGTATGGGACAAAGTGCTATGGGACAAAGCTAAGCTAGGAACAGGCAAGAGGCACTCTGAGGAGGGGATGAAGTTCCTGTCATATGTAAGGGTTCAGGGAAGGCCTGCCAGCTACGGTAACATTTGATCAGAGAGAAGTCCAGGAAATGAGGAAGCAAGACATGCAGACGTACGACAGGAGAGGAATCTAGGTAGAGAGAGACCTACAGCGGGAAGTCCCTGAGGTAAGAGCCTAACTGGAGCATTTGAGACACAGGAGAGAGGCCGGTGTGGCTGCAGCGGGATGAGCTAGAGGGTGGGAGTGGGGGACGAGTTAGTAGTTGGGAGGGGCAAGACCTGCTGGGTGGTAGAGATGTGGAGCACATCACACATCAGGAGTGGAATATTCTCCAACCTTCTCGGGAGTTCTGTTGTCAAAAGGCAGTAGTAACTGTCAAGGACAGGACTCAAGCTGGAGGACACCTTAGTCTATTCAGATACAAGGAGGAGGAAGAGAAGAGTGAGCTTGTGGTGAGGGAGGGGAGGTCAGGCGCCCCTGCCCGGCAAAGCAGTGAGTACTTCTTCCTTAGAAACAGGTTCAAGAGAGAAAAGGGAACTAAGCTACAGAAATGCTGGGTGAAGAAAATAACTTAGAAAGTCTACACTCGACCTTGGATTTTTTTTAAAAAAGTAAAGCAGAGCACCTGCCTAGAGTCATGGGGGCAAAGCTGGGGGCTTAGGAAAAGTAAATCGTTTTGGTATAGTTTCTATGGGGATGCTCACCAACTAATTCCTCAAATTTCCTTACTTCCCCACCCTCTGATTTGAAGGGGAGATGGCACAAAGGGTCTGTATGAATTGGTTTTACTACATAATTGGAGAGTTAGGAAGGAAGAAAAGATTAAAAATGATGAAAGCAGAAGGCTCAAGTGTGAGTCAAACGAAGTTCAGTCTTTTTCTGCACCAGCTGGGCTGGCAAGTTCTTTTCCGGTCCAGGGCACCACTACAGGACCTGAAATCATCTGCTCTACTTAGGTCCTGGAGAAAACTCTGGCTACACATATTTATTATTCCCCACAGACTTCAATAGCTGTTTGAGTGGAAGGTCTAAACTCTTCTTCGGCTGGTAAAGCATTAGCTTGCAGGAAGGTAAGTAGAGAGGAGTGGCTGCAATCAGTATAAGCACAAATCATTAATAGGGCTTGTTTTTAGGTTAGAGGGACAGCACGTTTAGTTAAGAGAGTTATGAAGAGTATCCAAACCCTATGAAGTAGATATTACGGAGAAGAAAGTGAAAGGAAGCTTCATCACTGTATTTTAATGGCGGTTAAAATAGTAACAAGTGGAAAAAGGTATTCAATTTCTCAAAAGAAATAAATGAAAAACCATGACTGTAATCACTCAACTTTGGGTCACAGATTATTAAATATTCTAAGAACTTTGTAGGTAATTGCTTATAAAGATGCAATTTCTATTGTTAATGAAATTCATGTCCCCATAAGGGCTACTAAATGGTCAATCTTTGATTACAATAATTTAAATTAAATATCTTCTACCACAAGTATGACTCACTAACATCTAAGGAAGATTCAGCTAGTCAGAATTCCAACCTCTCTTGCTGTCTCTTCCTGCGAGTTCTTGTTTTTCCTTTTTGAAGTGGTAATAAGCAATTCCACCCCCCGATGCTGATTCACAATCACAACCTGCACGTGCAAGCCCATAACAGACGTGCATGACATATGGTAGCATCTCACTGGTTCACACCCCTGTAAAACCACACCCTCCACCCCCGCAACTTTCACTAAAGCAAAGACCCCTTCACCTAAGTGCACATTAGCTGCTGGCTTTGCCGGCTGTAGGACACGGCTGCCTCCCCAGTGGCCAGCACACTACAGCAAGGTACTCATTAAACTATTCAGTTTCATTCCAGTAACAGTTCAAATACATTCTTCATTGTACAGGCAAGTATGTTTGTTTGATGCTAAAACTTTGATTTCCCCCTTCCCGCTCTCCCTCCAAACCCCCTCATCCCTTCACCCATTCTGGTATTTGTTCCCAGGCTAACATACAGAAATTCAGTAATTCTCAATGGGTCTCTTGGTCATTAGTGCAAATTAGTGGGGTTTTACTGAATATGGTCAGATTTGATTTGCCAAGTTCTTTTTCCGTTAAGGTTTTAAACCCATGTGTATTTCAAGGGAAATCTAATTTGTAGGTTTCGGATTCATTTACACTCAACTCACAAACGTGGTTCTGTGAATGCCTCCATAGCTGGTGTACAAGAAGCCACAGGAGCTGGTTTCCCTTCCTTTTAACAAGTTCTTGTTAGAATGTTTGCTTTGAACTAGGTATTTGGACTGTGCTGGAAGCAAATAGAACCAAATCCCAGGAAAATGTAAAATTTAAAAATCAAGTTCAAAAAACAGTCTTTCTTGCCCCAATAATTATGCTTCTTAAAAAACTCTTAAGCATGGAACCATCCATTTCAGCCTTAAAGGATGACGCCACCACCTGCCTACCTAGATGAGGCTGTGTCTCACAATGCTTACATCTGCAGGGTGATGAGAACATGATCTGTGAGTATACGGCTTTCCCTGCTTAGACCCTGCCCTGTCCACTCTGTCATCCCCCTGCCTCTGTTCAGCTGCTGCTGAGCCAGCCACTCCCACTGTATCAGTTCCTCTGCTGCTGAGCTTTCCCTTGAGGACTCTGCTGCCGGGATTCTTTCAGGTGTCATTTTTGCCCCTGGGTGTTCCCATACCTACTGACTCCTGTCTATCTCCCCTTCACTGGGACTCCTTAGTGTTGCCTGTGGTCTTGCACTTTTACCACAGCAACCACTTCCTGCATTTCTTGATGTTTGCCCCGAACTCCTAATAGGATGGGTTCCTTGTCACCTAGTCGTAGATTCCCAATGCAACTTCCTAGCTGAGTCCACAACTGCAGACTGATGGCTGGGCTTCATTCCTTGAGCCCCAGGCTTTCGCCTCCAGGGTGGGCTATTGTGATGATATCCTTGGTATCTGTAGTGCCCAAGACGGTGGGCCTACTGCCGAGTGTGGCTTCCCTGGTCACCCTGGATTGCTCTGAATAAAAGGGCCGAATCTCACTGATGTCTCTACCACCCATTTCCAGAGAGTGAGACCGACGGCAGTGGGATGGGAGTGTGCATGGCTGGAGAGTGCTGAAACAGACCCCCACTGCCAGCAGTGCCAGCTCTTGTCCAAACATCGAAGATAAGCAATTATCAACACTGAGAACACGTTGGTTTGTTGTTTCTTTCCTTTAGGAGTGCCTGCTTAGAAAGTCAAACAGCATTTTGCACCCCAAGGACTGTGACAGTACCAAAAAAGCCCTTTTTTTTTACCACCTGTTGCCTGCACAGACAATCCTTCCAGTGCTTAGGAGTTCAGTTCAAGTGATTTTGAAGAAAAATAGCCATGGATGACAATGGTGAACTCTGAGTGGTAAATAAAGGGCTGAGATATAAACTACTAAGATCAACTAAAACTCCAGTGCATTCAGAGAGACTTAAATTACAATTGTTCTGAGAAATCGGTAACTAACTCAGGGACATTGACAAATACTCCTAATATGCTCAGACAATGTCAGTGGGTTGGTATATACAAATTTATATAAAATACATGCAAGGAAATATAAGCCAATTTTCCATACATGTGAATGAGAAAGCCCTTTTCTAACCTGCCTGGAATCATTTGCTCTAACACTTTTGGGGAGCACAGTGCATGATCCCTTAGAGGATATATCATCATTACCTTAGAACAACCAGTTAAGGAGTCCCTAGAAAGGATCCTCTGACTGCTAAGGACAGTCGTTCATTCATTTCACTCATTCACTCAGTCACCTATCAATCTTTAACAAGGTGACAACTGTACGTCAGGAACCACATGAGGTTCTCTCTGTTACTTAAGAATTTCTAGGGATGAGAGTAGTGAGGAGAAGCAACATACTCTCTCCATTTCTTTGCCCTCAGATTTACAAAGCAAAGCAAATATAGTAAAGAAAATAATTTATATAAGTATGTACAAAGGACCCAAATGTCTGTAACCAGTCTTTTCCTAGTCACCTGCCCAAATCTGCCTTTAAAAAAAAAGGAATTTCCACATTTCTCTTCATTCCCCTACTTCTTAGCTCTGTCCTTTTTAGTGATGTCAATAATGCTTTCAAAAACTACAAGTTATAAATAGCTTCTATTAATGGAACAATGCCCCTTTTCTCGCAGTGTGACTCTTTCAATTAACATGTATATAGAATATAGCAAGAGTTAAAATGGTGATCTAAAATAATTTCATCAGGATAGTACACTTATGATTTCTGCATTTCACTGTATGAAAATTTTATCTTAAGAGAAAAAATTGAACTATATTTTATAATATGGATACTTAAGTATTGATGTCTGCAACTTATTTTTAAATGCATAAGACAAAGAAAAGACTTGATAGATGAATGGGGATGGATAGTTTTGTGACAAAACAAGAGTAAAATATTAACTATGGATGCAGGTGGTGGGGTATATGAGTGTTCATGGAAACCACCGATTTTTCTGTAAACCTATGTGTTTTCTGTTATAAAATTTCCATTAATAAAATGTTAGGGAAAAGTTTAATCAAAATGTCATTTCCACTTCTACTTCTTTTACACATTTGTTGATAGTATATCTATCTATCTATCTATCTATCTATCTATCTATCTATCTATCTATCTATCTATCTATCTATCTATTTATATTTCTGACTTGGGAAGTTCATGAAATTTTAGATTTTTTTCCCCTTAACCTCAAAAGGAGGGTAGTGAGTACAGACCACCTGGAGTAAAGAAAGGGTCTAGAGTGAAATATTTAGGGGAACTGCTATGGACTAAATTGCATCCCCCCACAAATTCATGTTGAAGCCCAAAGGCCCAGTGTGACTGCCCTATCATGAAATTTTAGATTTTTTTCCCCTTAACCTCAAAAGGAGGGTAGTGAGTACAGACCACCTGGAGTAAAGAAAGGGTCTAGAGTGAAATATTTAGGGGAACTGCTATGGACTAAATTGCATCCCCCCACAAATTCATGTTGAAGCCCAAAGGCCCAGTGTGACTGCCCTGTAGGAAAAGCATTTAGGAGGCATTACGGTTAGATGAGGTCAGAAGGGTCAGGTCCCCAACTGATAGGATTGTGGCTTTGTAAGAGGAAGAGAGATTCCCCATCCCCATGCTCTCCCACTGAGGAAAAATCATGTGAAAAATAACAAGAAAGAGGCCATTTGTAAGCCAGAAAGAGAGCTCCCCCCAGGAACAGAATTGGCCAGCACCTTGATCTTGGACTTTCCAGCCTCCAGAACTGTGGGAAAATAAATGTTTAAACTACTCAGCCTATGGTATTTTGTTATGGCAGCCTGAGCTGACTAAGACAAAGTCTGGAAGACAAACATCTGTGGATATTTAGGTAGTCTGCATGCAAATAATACAGCAGGGAAAAAGATCTGAATCAGTACATTCAGAATGAGAATGATGGAAATGTCAGAGCTGGAAGGGGTTTTGCCAACCATGTTATCAAAACTCACTTTACAGATGAAGAAACAGAAGCTCACAGAGGTCAAGTGACTTGTCTGGGGTCCTTCAGAGAGACTGGTGGCAGAGCCAAGGACTTTTAAGCCCAAGCCCCTTGACCTGTGCTCTCTCCACTACACCACGGAGCTTCATTAAATCAGGCCCTTCAGCCAAGTGTTATCAGCCAAACAATAATTTCTTTCCTTCTATTCAAATCTTTTGAAAGAATTCAGCTCCATTTTTCTAATTCTATACTTTTCTTTCTACTTACGTTTTCACTGCAAATCAACTTACCCTACAGGATAAAAACTAAAGAGAGGTCCTCTAAACAAATAAAAAGGTGTGCAAGTACACAAAAGGATAAACAAACACGAAAACTAACACTTGGATTGGCTTCTAATGTTAAGACAGTTATTCATTTACAGCAGAGGCCTGTGTGCTTAAAGATAGCATGTGTGCATAAGAAGGCATCTTGCTTCCTAAGAGTTGCTTATTATAACATATAAAGGCATTCTAGAAAAACAATAAAAATGTATTTGTTTTCCAAATTAATCATTTATAGTCTAATTTAGCACATTATTACATTTTTATAACATTTAAAATATCCAGTTTGATAAAACATTCTCATAAATAGAACAAAAAAACTGGGTTAATAAGCTTGTGTATTTTATAGGGCAATAAAATAACACATTTTTATAACATTTAAAAATAATATAAAATATAAAAATTGAATAATTAAAATTTTTTGTTTAAAAAAGTTCTTGTTGAACTTTTTATTTAGCTTTTCCACTAGGTAAACTTAAAGTGTATGAAGATGAATACTCTTAATGAATTTGGGTCAATGGAAATGTGCCAATGACATTTAGAATCTATGGTTTAATAATCTATTATAACCAATCAATACTCTACATTTTTTAATATTTAAAAAATTTTCTGCATCAATTTAGTTTCACTATATACAACCACTGACATGAGACACAAGACAATCTATTCTGCAATTTTCTTTTTATATTTATATCAGTAGTAGTTTAAATCTACAACTAGATGGTGTGTTACTAAAATAATGTGACTGATTTGTCACCACTGTTTTCAAAAGAATGTGTTGCAAACTGAAGATAAGTACTAAAGAGTAATTTCACAAATATTTTGAGTAAAGGCAGTACTGTTTGGAATTGTAGAGATATTCAAGGACATTTTGTTTTGAGAGACACAGGTTCTGAGAAATAATGTTCTGGTTATATTTGAAAACAAAACAAACAAGAACAATTAAACAAGTCAAATTACTTTCTAGTTTCACCTACCTTTAAAAAATAGCTAAAATGATGTGTGCACTGTCTGAGGTCATGGTCTACCCTGATCCAGTAACTGCACTGAAGACAATGAGATGCACTTTTCGTGCATTCACCCAAAGCAGAACCACATGCAGTGGAAAAGATTGGAGAACTGGAGAACAAACAATTGTTTTTAAAACTAAACTATTTTTTACTGCTTTAACAGGCTGTTCAGTGTAACATGAAATTCGTTATCTTTATTGAAATACGTGAGAAGGTGGAGGCATAACTAAGGTGGGTAAAATGAGTGATTACACTACAGGCACAGTGTCAGCAGAGCTGAGAGCCAGAGAGTTCTTGGGAGCTAGGTAGAATTCTCTTCCACCTTCCTAGGTGATGTCCGGGTGAAACTCAGTTTTGAAGAAGGCATTGCTGTATGTCCCATGGACATTCAGAGTCCTAGGGATGAACAATATCCCATCTTCTTCCTTACTCTTTTCTGTAAAAAAATCTTGGCACAGTGTGATTGGGTATCTAGCTGTTTGGATGCTGTGGTAATCAATAATATATATTAAAACCAGATCAATAACAAGGCTTGGAAGTTCATGTGCAAATAATAGAAGACATGAATTCAAGTTCCAGCTCTACTACTGTGTGAACTCAGATTAACTTTCATGAATCTCAGCTTCCTATGCAAAACTGTTGTCAATGCTAACACTTACAGAGTGTTACTGTATCACTGGCACTGTTCTAAGGTCTTCACATATTACAACTCATTTAATCCTTAACAAGCCCAGGGGAAAGCACTATTATTAGTTAACATTTTCTACATGAGGAAACTGAGTCACAGAGAGGTTAAGTAATTTACCCAAAGAAAATGCTTACGCCATAGGGTTGTTGTGAGATCAAATACAAAATGAGTAGGATGATTAGTGATGGAAGGGATCTTTAATGGCTTCTGGTCTTAAACTCTAAATGTGAGGCATCTACGGTTTGCAAAAGGGCTGGTTAACTGAAGACATTGAGCCTCTTCTAGATCTTTTTCTAGTGGCCTTAGAAAAGCATCATTTTTGTATTTTGCTTTTTCTCTAGGTAATTTTTATATATTCTTTCACGTACTCATAAAATTCCTCTAGATAGAAAAGTGGGAAAGAGTCATCTTTCCCATTTTTGAAAAAAGAGGTTAGAACACTCAGGATACCTTGAAGTCGGTGTGTAGTACTGAGGGACAGAGGTTAAGGTCACTGCACGACAATGATGGGGATGACATTAGACAGCTGTGAAACCATCTCATTTATGGCACACTGATTCTCTTTAGGGCACTGTGCCGAAACATCTCAGGCATATTATCTCATTTAATGCTAAATCTGCGTTTGAGTATGTAACTTCAAATGTTTTAAAATCAGAGAATGGTTGAGCCTGAGGTTTATAAAATGCAGACTTTATGGAGTCAAGATTCCAGATCTCAGTTGTGTTGACTCAGCCCAAGGTCCTACTAAAGAGGATAAAGTGAAGGCCAGGCAGATTAGTTAGTGGGATTTGGGCTAGATATTCAAAGTGGAGGCCTCCTCTTTACTGAGAGGACACACAGGCCCGTAAGCACTTTATGAAAAAATGGGGATTAACCTCAACTCTTTCAGCAGAATCTCAGGTTTATTTGCCAAAATGGATTTTTAAAAACAATGGCTGAATTACCCTACATTCCATTAGTCATTCTACAGAAATCTAATGTTAGAAATATGTTCACTTAAGATTTAGTGAGGGAAAAACCAAACTACATTCAGCAGTTTGGTCCTTTATTCAATAGAAATTTCTTGCTCAAAAACACCAGTGATTGGATGTGACATAGCCTAAACTTCAGCATCTGTACTTATGGAGAAGAGATGAAGCTCTTGACTTTGGATCATGTTTTTGTTTTTTTTCCCCTTGGCCCAAATGGCTCTTTTCCTAAAGACTATATCCTGGTTGAGCTGCTGTGGTAGCCAGTTTCCAAGACAGTCCTCAGTAATGCTCACCTCCTGGTATCCATGCCCTTGTGTTGTTCCTTCCCACACTGAATTAGGGTCAGTGAAAGTAACAGTATGGGACATTTGGGGGTAGGTCACAAAAGGCACTATGGTTCCCACCTTGTCTCTGGGTTGCTGGCTCTGGAATAAGCCAGGTGCCATGCAGTGAGAATGCCTCAGCAGTCCCATGGATAACTGGGTCCCCAGTTAACGGCTGGCACTCATCAGTTAGTCACATAAGTGAGCCACCTTACAAGTGGGTCATCCAGCCTCACTGAACAAGTGGCTGACATTTGACTGCAACCTTGTGGGAAACCACAAGCCATAACTGCTTAACCATGCTGCTCCCAAATTCCTGGCCCACAAAAATCATGAGATAATAAGTGATTACTATTGTTTTAAGACACTAAGTTCGGTGCTATTTGTTACAGATATAGTAGATATGATACAATAGATAAAGAAAGCCGCTACCAACTTTGAGGGCATGGAACAGTTTGCTGTGATTCTCTTATAATTCATAAACCATCACCACTCCATCAGTTATTATAAACTATACTATTAGTAATGATCATAGCTGGTCAATGTTATAATCTGATTGATATTTGGTTGTTTTAGGTATTGTTGTTTTGGGTGGTACTGTTTTTCAAGATGATCATATATATAACATGGCTGTCTCCACTTTATCAGATGCTGACTTTACAGGCTTGCAAAATTCCTGATTTGATAAAATTATTG